AGGTAATATTAATAAATGTAATTAATGCTAATACCACTTTATTGCTGTATCTGTTGATAATTATTAATTAATATTAACCAATATTATTATTAATATGTATTATCAATGTCAGTACTAATGATAAATATCAATAAACATTATTAATAATGGCATTAATAATTCATATTAATAGGCTGTAACATATAATACTAATAGTATTATTGATTTTAGTATTAGTAGCAGTTAATATTAAGTGACACTTATTTATTTATAAAAAAAAAAAATGTTATTAATATCATTACTACTTAATTAACAATTAATAAAAAAAATAGACATTGGAATATATACATTTATTTTTAAATAGATATACTGTAAGTATTTGATAAACTTCTGGTGGATTCGCGTATTTTTCTTTTGAATTATTGTGTAGAAATGAGTTTTCAATTATCAGACAAATGCAAGAATCTGTGGGCTTGTCGTGTAAATGTATATTAATGAGATTGCTTTGGCAAACTGTAAATGCCTAAATATCGCCATTGCATTAAAGATAAGCTGACTGGATTTGGCATCAATTTGTCATGTACTGTGAGGGTAAATGAATGCAGTAGGTGGAATTAATATCTGCAGCAACATAATAATTATATCTGATAGCCAGTAGCAATAAATCAGTCAAACATCAAATTAAATTGTAATGTAAGATTTTTCTTTTTTGTGCCCACTAGACATGCTTTTAGATCTTTCCAGTGTGCACAGCAAAAATGTCTTTAATATAATAATAAAATGTCTATATTTAGTGATTTTTGTGGTGTTTCACTTGACAAGGTACACTTATATTTAAGATAAATGATCTAAAGTCCACTCTTTAGTCTATCTAATATCACCAATGTAATGTGATATTCTCACAGGAAGTTTGCTGTAAAAGCCGAATATGTATTTTTGTAACCAATTTACAATCATAATGTGGACTCTGAAGGGTCTGTAGAGTTTGGTGTTTGATTCGGACAGGTTTTCTGTGAGGATGGAGGGGGTCAGACAGCACATTGCACACAGTTGTACTCACAGGAAGAGAGGTCGTTCACAGGGCTGGTGGAGCATTTAGATGTCCTTGAGATGGTCTTAATAATAATTCCTCTTCCTACACACAGGATGTGTTCTGCTTTGTCATGACCCATTTAATTATATTTGTTATTTGGGTCACGGCCACTTCTTTTTAAAAAAGCTGTGCGTAATATAAAAACTGTAGATGCTTTCATGTAATAGCAAACGGCCTTCTGACATCAATTCTAATTTAGTTCAGTATCTGGGTTAAGGTGCATTGACTTTTAGCCAGGGGCATCAAAACACATTTCCCGTGCATTATTTTTGTGTAAATGACACAAAGACTTGTGAATCACATTGCATTTTCTCGATTAGCGCGGTAAATTGATCAAAGTTTGGGTTTTGTGTTGCAGCTTTTTTCTTTGTGAATTTGGTAGGGTATTATAGGACTGCTTCCAGAATAAGAGGAAGAGGATATTTGTTGCTCAAATATTATAAAATGGAAAATGTTCAGGATAACAATGTTATGTTTCATTGCAGTATCAGTTTTGCCTGTATGGAAGCTTGTTTCCACCACTAAATAAAATTAAAAAAGGTAATTGCGACTGCTTATTCTGAATTTTTTTCCACCCAATTGCGAATTTACATCTCACAATTCTGACTTTATAATACGTAATTGTGGGTTATAAAGTCAGAATTAAGATTGAAAGAAAATAGTCTTTTTTCCCCCTCAGAATTGTACCTCGGAACTCGGAATTGTGAGTTTACATCATGAGATTCTTAGAAAAAAAACTTTTGTTTTTGACTGTGACAGAAACAGGCTTCCCTATGTAATTTTTATATAATGTCATTATTAATTAGTAATATTAATATTGATGACATTTATTGATGTTAATATTATTAGTTAATTATCTCTAATGTTAGTATGTCCCAGTAGTATAATATATTTTATCCTATATTCATATTAATTATTAGCATTGATTTTAATAATGTTTACTCCTATTAGGTATTAATTTTGATATTATTATTATTATTTGAAGAAAAATAAGAAATAATAGTAATGTTAGTTACTGTTAATATTAATTATGTATAACATTATAGTTAGTGCATATTAAGTAGTATTAATATTAATAAAAAATTATTAATATTATCAATTGATCAATATTAAATGCTCTTTATACTGAAATAATTCCTATTAGTGTAATATGTAATATCCTATTAATATTATTACTTAATAATATTATCAGTTAATAATAATGTATTAATACTTTTCAATTGACAATGATATTAATAAGTGATATTAATATGATTTAATATTGACGTTAATTGTTATTAATACAGTTGTTAATTGCTATTTCTATAATATATAACCTATTAATATTAAAGGAACACTCCACTATTTTTGAAAATAGGCTCATTTCGGTTGAGTTTTACCATTTTCCATTCAATCCATTCATCGATCTCCGGGTCTGGCGGTAGCACTTTTAGTTGTAGCTTAGCATAGATCATTGAATCTGATTAGACCGTTAGCATCTCGCTCAAAAATGACCAAAGAGTTTCTATATTTTTCCTATTTAAAACTTGACTCTTCTGTAGTTACATCGTGTACTAAGACCGACAGAAAATTAAAAGTTGTGATTTTCTAGGCTGATATGGCTAGGAACTATACTCTCATTCCGGCGTAATAATCAAGGAACTTTGCTGCCGTACCATGGGTGCAGCAGGCGCAATGATATTACGCAGCGCCTAAAAATAGTCCCCAGCTAGGTAACTTCCAACGTGACCGGCACTAAGTTTGTGTAGTTGCATATATACTGTATATTTCATATATTTCCATATCGGCCTAGAAAATCACAACTTTTAATTTTCTGTCGGTCTTAGTACACGATGTAACTACAGAAGAGTCAAGTTTTAAATAGGAAAAATATCGAAACTCTTTGGTAATTTTTTAGCGAGATGCTAACGGTCTAATCAGATTCAATGATCTATGCTAAGCTACAGCTAAAAGTGCTACCGCCAGACCCAGAGATCGGTTGAATGGATTCGAAAACGGTAAAACTCAACTGTTTAACTCTAGGGGAGTTGGAAAATGAGCCTATTTTCAAAAATAGTGGAGTGTTCCTTTAAGTATAATGTTTTGATATTAATAATGATTAATAATAATAATTGCAGTTAATATTAATGATAATTACTAACACTAATATTAAAATAGTTGCAAGTGCCCAAATATGTTTTTATTTGCATTGCCTATAGGCCTGTTTTTATCTGTCAAGTCAAAGCTGTTTATCTTTCTCCACGTATTCCTGACGCGGATTCTTTTTTTACTTTCCAGTGCCACTGACCTTTTTTGCCAGCTTTTACTCATGCACTTTAGTTAAAACAGTCTATCATATTGTGTCTGTGAGAGCATGTGAGTGTGTATTTGCCCTCAGGAGGTCTTCATGTGAAGTCTGGGCCTGGAGTGTTGATAGGACTACCAGAGCGGCATCTCAGACAATCTGATATTCTCGCTGGGACCAAAGTTTGACCTCACTTACAAACAGGCCTTTTATTGTGTGCTAAAACTGATTTGTCGTCCGCCTTAGGCCATGTACGACACATTATCATCAGTAAGAGGACACGCTAAAAGGACTACTTGAAGCTTTGCCCCATTGGCCCTCCTATTTTTCATCGTTAGCTCTTGCTTAATGCTTTTTGCCCAACTTTGTGTTCCTACAAAGTCATTTTTGTTTCTTTTACTTCCTGGCCCATTTCCACAGGAGCTTACCAACAGGCTAATGCTGTTGCTTAATGTGGTTTCCAGAACGATGTCGGTCACGTTTAGCCATCGCACTTTATTCTAGGCTATTTTGCCATGTTTTATTGATGCGATAGTGGTGAGAAGAAGGAAATGATGTGGAGAAAAGGTCAAAGACCATGGCACTGACACCCTTGGGCTCTTTGATATGATGTTTTGAAGCCAAAGCAAGCAAAGAGAGAAGTGAAATGTGTGGGTAGTTGTGAGTGTGTGTGCGTAAGTATGCTCAATAATGAGTTATTAGTCTTAAACGATGTCGTTCCCCAACCCCCATCCTCCTAAATGAATCTCTGACAAAAGCTTATTATGTTTCCTTTTGAACTGGCACGTTCTCATGATCTCACTCTTTCACGTTCAAATCAAATGACCCCCAACGTGTTTTCCTGCCTCTCCATTAGACATGCATTCATTCTGTCCTAACCCTGCTTTATATATTCATCCATCATTATTCCTTCCTCATCCACTCGGTTCATCTGGCTTTATTTGAACTGGGATCCATCTCTAAAATCTCTCTTTTTTTTTTTTTCTTTGAATGTCCTTTTGAAGTTTTTATTCATCAACAAATCCTGAAAATTGTGTTTCCACAAAAATATTAATCAGCTGTTTTCAACATCAATAATAGTAAGAAATGTTTCTTGAGCAGCAAATCTGTATATTAGAATGATTTCTGTGACACTGAAGACTCGATTAATGATGCTGAAAATTCAGCTTTGAATCAAAGGAATACATTCTATTTGAAATATATTAATATAGAAAGCAGTTATTTGAAATTGTAATAATATTTCTGTTTTTACTGTATTTTTGATCACATAAATGCAGGCTTAATAAGTGACTTCTTTCAAAAACATTTAAAAAATCTGACTGAGCCCTAAACTCTTAAAGGTAGGCTAATATTCATTCATCTCAAGATTTAGATGAAAATCACTTCATCATTATCTTATTGGAGTGTTCCAGGTTTAATACGTATTAAACTCTATCGAGCATCTGTGACATACCGTCGATTACCACTGACAATAATTTCCACTTTTCTCGTAGTTTGCAAACGCAAGCAAAAATGACATGTGCAGTAATGCAGTTGTAGGCAATGGGGTACGATGTTGAACTGGGATAAATGCTAAGATTCACATGATTTTGAATGTCAACTGAGATACAGCCCTAAGTGTGTGTGTGTGTGTGTTATTTGCAGAAAGGAGAGCCATCAGGTCTGCTGCTTTCGGAGGACGGGCGAGAGCAGCTGATGTTTGAAGTTCCTTTGAGTGACTCCGGCTCAGCTGGTCTAGGGGTCAGTCTGAAGGGTAATAAGTCCAGAGAGACCGGGGAAGACCTGGGCATCTTCATCAAGTCCATCATCCACGGCGGTGCTGCACACAAGGTAAAGAGCAGCTCATTCACCCCACGTCCATTCGTCTGAGAGCTCCAATCATGAAAGTCGCTCCAATCCTGTGTATTTCTTTACACAATGGCATACAGTTGTAATTTATGCCTGAAAACTACTAAAAACCTTTAAAATGTCTATAAATAAAAACATACATGCACTATTATAAATCTAGTATACTGTTATATGTAAATATACTGTTCATAATGCATTATTTTACCTTTAAAAATTAGTAACTAAATACATATACCATTATAAATATATAAATATAATTTTGTTCATAACACAATGATGTTTATGCAGTTCGTTAAAAAATACATAAAGAATCGTATATGTAAAAATTAACATTAGGATAATAAATGTTGTAAAATTAGTGCCATTTTTGTATTATTTATATACTATTATAGTATGTATTAATGCTTAAATTAGTTTTTTGTTGTCTATTTTCAATTGTTAATTTAATTTTAATGTAAGTTTTAGTAATTTTGTAAAGTGCTTTTGGTTTTAAATATTTTTTAGCTTTCATTTCATTGTCATTCAGTTTCTTTTTATTTCAGTATAATTTAACTAACTAAACTAAAATAAAACTAGTTTTACAACTTTGTTTTATTTTGGTTAGTTGTGACTAAATTATTTTATTTTATTTTACAAAAACAACAAGTTTTATTAGTTTTAGTTAATGATAACATCACTGGGAAACATTTTTCATATTATTTTATGTTAGCTATTACATTAACTAATTTAAGCTTATCAGTTAACATAATATGAATAAGAAATTTACTATAAAATATTGTACATAGATACAAAAATGTACATTGATAAGGCATAGTTGACGGTTGAAGTTAAAATCCAAATATTGTCAGATTAATCTGTCTGTAACTACTACTATGATTTGGAGAACCAATACAAACATACGAATATACTGTAGTATGGTAATTTTGATTCACCCAAAGTGGCCCCAAACTGAAAAAAAAGATGATTTATGAAAATGGCCTTTTTCATAGCCTATTAAGCTTTATCATTTTGGTTTGGGATATGCCGTGTCTGTTATTACAGGTTAACCTCACCTAGTGCCGCTATAGAAATATGAATGCTCCTCTTCTCTCCGCAATCAATCCAGTCAGGCAGCAGGTGTTGTGTCTGTGTGCAGATAAGAGCACATCTACTGTCTCCTATCAGCACTGTAATCAAGAGTGGGCTCACAGGTGGAGCTGTGTCTCTGGCCCCTATCAGCACTCCAGTGGAGAGTGGGCTCAGAGAGCGAGCTGCGTCACAGACCCCATCAGAGAGACGCTCAAAGAAATAGACATTTTCAAAGGCTGAGCTCTTCATTTGACTTCTGCCGTTCACCCTTATCACACTCACTCTCTCTCTCACACTTTCTGCTGCTCCTCTAACATTTACACTCCAAGATTGAGATCAAATGAGCATGAATATATAAAAAAAGCTGCATTCTAATTTCTGGAATAAATTATCGTAATACAAAGTAATGAAGAAAAACATGTCGTAGGTTATCTTTAGAGCTCTTTATGAGGTAGCGTCTTTCACAAGGCCGTCTTAGGTTGCGAGTTTCCAGACTGTCTGCTTATGTATGCATGAGCATAGTTTCTCAATAGATGGGCGCAAGTGTTTGTGTCTGTCCTGCCGGAGACCCCCTCCCGGGTCAGTATCGGTGGTCTGCGGTCAGTGACCTCGCCCAGGGGTCAGGATCATCCGCCGTGACACAGACTCTCAGGAGTCTTTAGCGGCTCCAGTGGCTTTTAGCTGCTAATCTCTTTTGTTCCTCCTCAGCTCAGTTTTATTTAGGAAACCACAGCTGTGAACCTTAATCCAATTCATTCCGGCCCGGCCCGGCCCAGCCCTTTCACGCTAATGATATGCATCCGTAATTGTGTCTGAATTCATAGTGGGATGCATTAAACATTTAACAGTGGGGCTACACTGCATAAATGTTTTTAAATCACACTATAGAGCTTTAGTGTTGGGAGTAGCTAGCTAAAAGTAGCGGTGGTCCTAACTTAACTACATGTTTCAGTGTGACAGTAATTCAGCAATTCAGATTTACCCCCCAAAATAGTGGTGGTTTATTGAAAATAAGTTCAAAAGAACAATTAATTCACAAAACAGACTAAAAGCTTTAACTTTAATGCTGTAATCATAATTGTAATCATTATTCTTATTTTATTTGTTTTAATTAATTTGTTAATTTTGTATTTATTTTTAAGTTTAGTTTTTTTTAAATGTTTAATATTTTAAATGCTGCTGTGAATATATATAATTCTATACCTTTTAATATTATAGTATAATTTTATAAAATAATACAAATTTAAGAGCTTTTTATCTGATTAATCTGCCTTTAACTATAACTGTGATATGATTTGTGTTTTTTTTACTTAGTTGTTTTTTTGTATTCCATTTTTAATTTAATTTTAAATACACCGTTGTATTTATTAGTAAATAATATATCTTATTATAGAAAACATGTAAATATTTGAATATTTTTTATGCAGTTTTGTTTTCTTGGTATTTATTTATTGATTAATTAATTTATTTGTTTGTTTATTTATTTATTTACTTTTATATTTAATTTTAAATGCAAACTGAATTAATAGGTAAAAGACACATCGTCCATTATTATAGTAAAAATTTAAGATCTTTTAATCTGATTAATGTATCTATAACTGGTTTGTAGTTTTTTAAATACTGCACTGAATCTTTAGGTAAATTATATATCTACATTCATTCTCTCGTTCTCTCTCTCACTGTCTCTTATCTAGTATTATAGTAAATATTTTAGAGCTTTTATTCCATTAATCTGTCTATAACTAGTACTATTTGGGATGCAATAATGCAAATTATAAGACTAATAAAAATGTAAGATATTTAAAATGAATTTAGCCTCTCTTTAAGGTGAGGTTTAGTCTAGCTATTAGCTAAAACTTGTTAGAAAGGCTTTTTTTCGTAGAGGTTTGCTTCCTATAATTTCTCAGTAGTTTGCACATGTAACAATGGTGTGTGTCTTCTTTTGTTTGCAGGACGGTCGCTTGCGTATCAATGACCAGCTGATAGCGGTTAATAGCGAATCGCTGCTCGGACGCTCCAACCATGAGGCCATGGAAACACTGCGGCACTCCATGTCGACTGAAGGGAACCTCAGAGGAACCATCCAGCTGGTGGTTCTGCGTGCTGTGGAGCGCTCGCCTGCTCAGGTATGCCCAGTTCCTGTACCTTACCATGTGTCCCGCTACAGACCGCTTCCCCGCAGGGCCTCTGAACCCAAGACCCTGGCCGCAGCCCACCGGTATCACCTCTATCCACATCACAGGCTCTCAGGTGACCTCTGATTGTTAGTTATTGTGCACGAGGACATGCAAACATATGCTTTGGCTAAAAGGAGGAAATGGTTTTAATGTCCTCCTGTTCTGAGATTTAAATCTAGCTTTAACGTACTATTGCTATCCTATGAGGAGAAGAGAAAAATAGGCTTGCGATTAAAAAAAATCTGTCAATAGATTACATTTTTGTCCCCAAACAGCTCATTTTCCCAAACAAAACTCTTGAAAATATTTTCAGTTATAAATTGGGATCAGTTAGATAAGTTGCCATGTGAGGCATTGCAGTATCATCAAGGACATTTGGGGAGGAGGTCCTTGAAATTTAATCATTGCAGATTAATTTTTTGACAGACTGAAGATTGTTCTTTTCCTTGTTTTTCTTTGACTTCATGAGAAAGTGCTTGTTCTTCTCTCCTGCGTCCTGCTATTGTACTAACATCATGCACATGCTTGTATTTTCACTTATTTATTAATGTCTGCTTTTCTTTTGCTTTGTTTCTGTGTTGCTTCTGTATAAGTTTTCTTTTGAAATAAAATATTTTTAAGTCTTTGCATGCACTTTGTTTTCTTTTAACCCTCTGGGCTTTTCTTCATGGATCTTTTCTGTTTATTCTGTAAAGGGCATGAGGTGTCATTCATCGCTTTCTTTCAGATTTTGAGTTTTCAAACTTTGAGATGTGCTGTATTGAATTTGTATATGCGATATGTACAATGCGTTTAAAAGTTTGGGGTCTGTAAGATTTAAAAAAATTAATAGTATTTATTTTTTAAAGAAATTTATTCTTTTATTCAGCAAGAATGCATGAAATTGATCAAAAGGGAGCACAATTTGTTTTAAAATATATTCAAATAGAAAGCAGTTATTTTAAAATGTAATAATATTTTACAGTATTACCGTTTCTGCTGTATTTTTGATCAAATAAATACAGCAATGATGAGCATAAGAGACTTCTTTCAGAAACATTTAAAAAAAAAATCTTACTGATCCCAAACTTTTGATTGGTTGTGTATATGCTACACCAGATCAAAATAATTTGAAATGAACCATATATGATATATGTCTGTATTATAACTATATATATATATATATATATATATATATATATATATTAAAGTGGATATTATGTGACCCAACATGTGACCATTAAAGTCTGGGAAGCATAACATTGCATTGTATCAGTGCATTTTGATTGAGTCTACATTCTCATAATGCAAGTTAATGCACTAAAATAATATGCAATGTAAACCTATGCATTTCCACTAAATACTTGTTTGAAACTTTCAGTGCATACAAGTTTACTCGTGAGCACTTTTCAATTTTATGACTTAGAAAATGTGGCTTGATAAAGTGTTTGTTCAGTTTGTGCTTGCATTATTGGGAAGCTTGGCCTTCTTTTACTACTGTCAGTTTCATGTCTCTGTGTTTCAGGGGGTCCGCCATGTTCACTGGGGTCCCCCTTTTGTTAATGTGGTGGTAAGTTTAAGCAGTCACCGGTTGGTGTATTAAACCCGCATGACAATATCCTTGCTAATAGAGGTGGTTTCACATGATAAAGACAGAGAGTCAGCTAAAACGATATTTTTAATTGATGATGGAGACGTTTCTAAACTCCAGTAGTCTGAACAGTGCTGATCATTTCATTTTTTGCATATTTTTCAAAATAGACTTGTTCTTTTCTATTATGGGAAGTAGTGTTAAGGCAAATTTATTGGAGAAGAGAATCAATTTCTATGAGCCAGCAGCTCAATAAAATGTCAGTTTTCAGCCAAGAGATAATAGCTGAATCTTTTTTTTTCTGCTGTGGATCCTCAGAAGTCACATGCTAAGGTTTCTGAATGTTCAGAAATAGTCAAATGCGGCTTGATTGGAGTTTAGAGTCTTTGTATCCAAGGTTAAACCGGGACGGTTCATCAAGTCCGACAGCTCCTCATCACCATCCAATGAATATGAAGACAAATAGTTATTGACTCCACCTTCAGCGTTCTGACTTTGGGTGGGTGAGCGCTGGAGTATTATGGGGGAGCATTAGCTTATCCTCAGCCCAATCTAGTGGTAGAGGGATGGTGATCGGTGCAAGCGGTAATGGCGCTCAATAGAAGGTGATATGTTGCTGAGATGCATTCTTCATTAATCACATGCAGACGGAGCGATCAATATGCCATTAATCACCCAGACAGAGTTGAGTGATAAGAGAATGAGTGGGAGGTTAGAGAATCAGAAGTGTTTGTGGACTCAACGTAATGGGTTTGTTACTCAATTCAAGACATAATACTAAAATTCTAATAATTTATTATTTTTTTTTTTTTCAACAAACTACCACTGTATCATCATTGGATACTAGTGTGATCATACACCTTGTTTGGACGTCTTGGCAGCACCATAATATTTTATGAAAGTACGATAACTAACATAGTACCAGCAAAGTATTAAAATAATAACAACAATAATATTGTAAAATATTTTAACAACTTTTCTTTTATTAATTTATTATTATTATTATTATTATAAATGTCATTTATTAACATTTTTTATAATTATATGTCATTACTGTCATTTTTAGCCAATTTAATACATGTATGCATTTAAAAGACTTTATTCCTGCTTTCACAAATTAAGGCCTTGAAAGGTCTGTAAGATTGTAAGTCATGGCATTGAATGTTGCATGCACTCAAAAAAAAACAAAAATACAATCTTCCTCAGTATTTTTGTTTTATTTTCCAATACAAATATCTAAATATCCTTAAATCAAGATACTTTTACTTGAGATGCCATATTAAGCTAATAAGTCTTGTTTTCTGAAAAATGTAACAAGATGAATCAAATGTATGCTTAAAATAAGAACAACTATCTATCAATGGGGTATGAAAACTTGTTTTCCCTTTGAATGAAGTTGATTTTTCTGAGCCCATTGGCAAATTTTTGTTCTTGTTTTAATCATAAGCACACTACATTTTGTTCAGTTTCTCATAAAACAAAACTTCTTATTACAAAGTAATGGAGATCTGTTGGAAGTTGTATTTTCACACTTTGAAGTACTGCTAAGACCAGACATTTACATTAAGAGAACATGTTGATGCATTGTTCCCTTACTTAAATTTGCTTAAAGAATGTCTTAAAACGTTTTACATTTACAGAAACCATTGAATAAAAGTAAAAAAAATAATAATTCTGAACCCAAACTCTTAAACTGCAGTGTACCTTTCATGTGAAACCACCATCTTTGTTCCTCCTTCCTGTTCTCCACCCAGTCTGCTGTCTAATCCCGTTACCTCGCTGGATCTCCTCTTGCTCTGCAAGTTAATCAGATTACACCGTGGGTTCCTTGAATAAAAGGATAATTTTGTGTTTTAATGAAAGGCAGCCCGGGGCTACCCTGAGGGTCCCTAACCTCAGCTCACCCTCACTGCTGGCCTGTGTGGAGGGGGTGGAGACGGCCGTGGCTTTAGGGTCTTGTTCTAGAGGCTGTTTTCTTGGTTCTTTGTCTTGGACTGTAGACCCAAGCTCCCTTGTGATTGTTGTCTGATTAAGACATTCAGCGCACTGCCTTTGAAGATGTCAGAGAGGTTCTGTGTGTGTGTTGTTGTAGGAGTTGTACACCTAAAATCAAGGTGATATTTCAACGAATGTGAATATGATTGTTACGAACATATTGACTGATGCAAGGAGAAATTAGACTTTGACATTGTCTTCAGATGCTAGTGTGCTGTGAGTGTTGCTATGCGGTTGCTAGGGGGTTCTGGGTGGCCACTAATGCTCTGTTATGCAGTGTCATAGTAAATGCAGTGAACTCCATTTCTGCATGTGCTGTGAGTTTAACATGCATTTGGAAATTTTTTCGTAGACAGATGATTACAGATAGATTTGTAATGAGACACGTTTCTAAACTTGCTCTCACAGAAACTTAAAAGACCTTCCAGCTGTTTTTAGCTAAAATAATATCTTCACTTGCAAGAGTTAAAGGGGTCATATGATGTTGCTAAAAAGAACATTATTTTGTGTATTTGGTGTAATGAAATGTGTTTGTGGTTTAAGGTTAAAAAAACACATTATTTTCCACATACTGTACATTATTGTTTCTCCTCTATGCCCCGCCTTTCTGAAACGCGTAGATTTTTACAAAGCTCATTTATATATATATGTGTGTATATATATAATGTAAATATTATATTTTATGTATATCTGTTATATATTTGACATACATATATAATATGCATGTGTATGTATGTATGTATGTATATGTAAATATATATGTGTGTGTGTGTATATATATGTAAATATTTGTATATGTTATATATTTTTAGATTTTAATGTTTTAAATCTTTTCTTCACTTTAATCTATTTTTATTTCAGTTTTAGTTTTTTTTTTAGTTAAATTTTTTCATCTGCTACTGCCATTTTATTTTAGTTTAACTTTATTTCAATAACCGAATTTATCTTTCTTTCTTTAAAATAGTTGTAGTTTTTGTGTTAGTTATCAATAATGACTGGTTGTACCGCGTTGCTTTGTGGGTGTTCTGGATTGTTTCTGGGAAGTTGCTATATGGTTGTTAAGATTTTGTCATTACAGTGTTGTTGCTGGGGTGTTCTGGGGGGTTGCTAGGTGGTTGTTTTTTATTATTTGTGGATGCATTTTATTGTCCACCAGGCAAAATTTGCTTTCTTTAAAGAATCACACCAAAACACATCTGAGACGTCATTGATTGAGTGTTTAAGAAATACTGCTCCATGTGTTTTGCACCAAAGATTAGTGGTCAGCGGTTTGTTCAAATCAGTGTGAGCAATAGTAATAGTGATCCATGCCTTAACAAGCCCCACTAATAAGGACGATGCAGCGGTTGAAGTCAGTGGGAGGTGAACACGTAAATCAATAATATCGACTGTTTAAATTGACTTTTCATTTTTAGTTTCCCTCCATCTGGATTCTAGCAGTTGCTGTCCCGTTCTTCTTCAAGCACCTTTTGATATTTTCCTGCCATCTCTCAATTTATGCGTGTTAGTCACATGCATACAACACGTTTACCGTTGTCAAGGCATTGATCAGAGTGAAGACAGAAAAAGTGTTGCTTAGGCTCAGCGAAGGGGGTTTTAGTCATTTTTCATGAGAAACATAATCTCTGAGGAGAAAGGGAGCCTGAGAATCAGTCCTTTGGTCCATTGATGATTCCCGTGCGTCTGGAGAGACAGCGAGCAGGAGGCAGATGACAAGAATGACGCTTCCCCATGTAAAGAGCCATCATCCCCGCTAATGACTGTGCTCCAACTGAGGCTTAACGTTGGAACAAAAGAACGAGGCTTTCATCTGTTTTTCCCCACCATGCGGAATAGTACGGTGTGAATGCATTTAAGCACACTTTGATATGGTGATATCCTAATACCTTTCATGTCCATCCAGTCAGTCTGGGCTTATTGTTGCCGCGAGTAGCGTGTTTGTGTGTGTAGCATGTGGTTTGTATGACAGTATAAAGTCTACGGTGTTCCTCCTCTGAGTTGCAGACGCCCAGACGGTGACAGCTGTAGCTTCTTTGTCTTCTGAGAAGAATCCATCAGGATGCATCATTCTGTGGCCTCACGTCTTCATATTGACGCATGTTTCCGTATCTGCCTTGAGTAGTACTGTCTGACGGAATTGCCTTTGGCTTATAAACATTTCTAACTATGTCATATGGTTGCTTTTATCCTTTTGTCATTTACAGTTGGGGTTCAACATATTTTTTCCCCCCAATGTATTCTGTTCTCTCACAGAATTTATCTTTCTTTTTTTTAGTATCTAGAGTTTTCCATCTAAAACATGCACAGTCC